TTTCCCGACAGAAGTCCTTTGCTGTGCCTTTGCTCACTGCAAAAGCCATTTTGTGGACTTGACCACTGACAAAAAGCTATATGCTAACCAACAATATTTAACTCAAGATCTAAATGCTGGACTATCTCTAGCCAATACAAGAACTGAAGCATTTCTACCTCTCCACCCAAAAGACCTCCTCTGTGAGGCTGCAAACAATGAACAGAAAACTGTTTAGAAATCAAAAAAATGAGATATACCATTGGTTTACAATGGTTCAAGTGAAAAGCATCAACTGTGTCCTCTCCTGTGGCTGGTAAACTACTGCTCGGCTGAAAGGCAAGAATAAATCAACTGTAGTATTTAAGCAGAGCAGATAAAGGGGGAAAAGAAGAGATTGGGGGGAGGGGAGAGGACGCAAGGAGAGATACTTCAAACATTCAGCTTCTGCATCCTCCATCAATGCTGCACAAGTGTCAACATAACCTCATTACACGCTTTACTCTAATCACATCAACATTGTAATTACATTAACATTACAGAAAATGGATTAGCAATAAGAAATATCCTCTGTTTTCATTTTATATGCAACATAATTTTTGTTAATAAAAAATAATTTTATGTACAACATAAAGAGTGAGGTTGTTTTAAACCAACACATTAGATTTTAAGAAGCACAATTACTCCATTTCAACTGAAAAATAAAGAGTCCCACCCGTTCTGGCCTTTTTACATTAAGATAAATTCTATTTGTAAATGCAAGCTTTGTGCGCACAACATATACAGAACCTGGACCAGTTCCTTCTGGCATCTCAAGAAGTTAAATGTCAAAATCATTTTAAATAGATGATACTCCTCACAGAGATAGCAGGGATTCCTTAAGTGAAAAAAAGAAAGAGAAAAAACTCACAGCGGGAGGAAGGTATTGTATACATTTTCAAATATAACAATAAAGTCTTGACACGGACATGCCCTGCACAAGCCTACCAGAAATTCTAGTGGTTTTTCTCCTATACATGCGAGGCCCCACTTTGGCTGTTTTCTTCTATGTCTTCTCTCAAAGACAGTATAACCTGATTGCCCAAGTGTATTCTTTAAAGTTCCCATTTCCATATGCTTTTCATTTTGTAAATTTGAACTGTCTGAGATGGTAATTTTCCTGTGATGTGCATCTGCCCAATGTTCTTTGGGGGGGGAAGCCCATTATTTCCAAGTCTCAACCCTCTCTTGCTACTCATCAAACAGGTATGAAGTCTTCAGGAAAGCATTCATCTCCCTCTACTAGCAACTCAGATGAGGAGATAACACACGTACCTTCCCATCGGTTTGCTGGGATAGTGGCGGACTACTGTGGATTTAAAGATTACAACCCCTGCAACAACTTGCGTGCGTGTATCTCGGCGGGGGCAAGAGTACCCAGCATGGGTCTCTCCTGCCCTGTTAAGGGCATAACGAAGTAGTAACGCTAAACCTTGCCAGAAACGCAGCCAACAACGATGGCAGCACTGCGAACTGAACCCTGGAAATCTAGCAGGAACGAAATGTCAGGTTCCCAAGGGAGCTCTGTCTCCTCCGAGCACAGGGCGGGCTCTGCCACGGCACCGCGTGCGGGCCGTGTTGTGCTAGATCCGGAGAGCAAGCTGGAGGGCAGCTTTGGATGGGAGATAAAGGATTACCTCCCCGCTTCTGCCGCTGAAGGCGGCGTGGGGAGGCTGCTCACCACGCACAGCCTGTCCGATACTCCCACACTTCGCAAGCCACAGTTTTCGCAAGGTGGTCAGGTCGCCCACAGTGCACCCACCAACTCCCTCCAGGCACCCAACCTGGCGCTCCGATGTCCACGTGAAAACATAAAGCTGAGAACAGCTGCAGCGGAAACCGGTGACCACTTCAGTCCACGCGCACAATGTCATGCCATGCCAGAACGCTAGGCTTACTGAGCAGAAAAGGGAACAGACTCTGATTTGGGAGGAGGCCGTCACCAGTGGGCTCCCTTCATTCAAACTTCACGTAACACCGCAGTCAGAGAGGGCTTAGAAAGCAGCTGAAGTGTATGTAGAGCTAAACAGTGACTGTGGGGCTTGTGCACAAAATGTCCAGAAAACAGGACTCTAATGAAAATAACTAACCATTTGGCTTAGGCATCCCCTCAAGTCATGTAAGCCTCAACCCACCAAGCTACAGCACACACTGCATTCGATTCTCAAACTGATTTGAAAGAGTACCAGTACTAACTATTCAGGAGCTGTTTAAGAGCAGCAGGTGAAATAAAACATTTGGACTTTGAAGACCGGGGAGGATGAACGTAACACATGAAATGCAAGATACGGCTTTAGCATTCGTCTTGGGGGTGACTATTCCAGAGCACCGTGGAGTGTGGTTTTAAAGTGGGTAATTATGTCAGAAGGAAGCCTAAAAGCCAAGATGAGGTTTCTTTCAAGAAGCATAGCATGCACAAAGTACTTTCGATGCATCTATGTAAAAGTCGATCAACTCATCCGTGGATTACACAGACAGCTGTAAGAATTTTTCTAGTGTGATATCACAAAGAGCATGAGGAGTCCCACAGCTAAGTGGTCCTTACAGCTTGGAGCAGACCACTCTGAAAGCGACTGTTAGCACAGTCTTCTTACAGTCATCTGTCCTCCAGTGCTGCAACCATGCAATGATCGTCATCTATAGAAAATGATTTATTGTAAATGTAATGCAGTGCGTAGGACAAAGCTACCATTTGCAAAGTCTGCAGAGGCTCAGAAGGAAGTTGGAACTACTGAATTTAGGCTGGCTGAAACCTGAGAGAAGCCCCTCAACAGTACTACTGACAGGCAATAAAATTGCTGAAAATCTGCATCTCAACGCTATTGAACATGATGCTGTTGCATCTCAATGTAACTGAAATGTAGGAATAAACAAACACAATGGTTACAAAGCTTTACAAGATGCCACACACAGATATCTATTATACATGAAATAAAGTGTATTGTCCTTAAAAATATTCCCATTGTTCTTGCCACAGAATGAACAAGACTTGTACTATCCCTAAGTCATCTCTTTAACCATGTCAGAAGTACTGGGAAGACATTTTACCAATGCAGATACCATTCAGCTCAAGTCAGTATAACAGATAAAATTAGGAAAATGCACAAAAAATTTGATACATACCTGATCTACTAATCCTGTCAATTCTGTCCATGCTAGAAGAAGAGATTTTAATCCGAGGGCTGCTCTGATTAGAGGATTCAGAGCCTCCATCAGCCAGGGAGTCTTCAAATGCAAAGAGTATTTCTTTCACACATTTGTGACAGATGTTGTGCTGGCAAGGAAGGATCAGTGGATGGGTGAATAGTTCGTTGCATGCCGGGCAGATGAGCTCTCTTTCGATGCCCTTAATGGCAACCTTCGTGACAGAAAGGAGGAGAAACAAGAGTAAGCACAGAGAACACAAGCCAACATGAAGACTTAACGGCACAGCTGTACACCTGTGTGCCACCGAACCCCAGCTCTGCAGACTCGTCATGGCACACAGCTTCAGCTCGTTTGAAGCACTCCTCTGGTTAACGCTGCAAACAAATCTCGATTAACATTTATGAAAGCACTGACAACATGCATTCCCACTGAAATGAACACTGCCACTAGGCAAACCCAGTTCATCTTCAGGTCATGTCTGCATTGCAGGGGAGGAGAGGAGAGGAGGGGAGTCGTCTTAATTCGACTCAAAAGACCTGGTGGAAGGAAAGCAACCGTACTCCTTAACAATAGGGATCCATACGTTTAACTGCGCTTGCTCGCTCTCTTTTTCAAGAAGCGGGGCAGAGGGGAGAAAAAATAAACGAAGTGTCAGACTGGTTAAACAAGAGGCTTTGCTGCCGTGTAGTTCACACCTACGGGCTGAAACTGCCCTGACTTCATTAGGCTAATAGTTACAGTCAGGAGCTGGATTTATCTACCTATTTATGTCTTTATGTACCGCACGACGCGGAGCCCGCGGGCCAGCGCAGCCCTGCGGCGGCCGAATGGCCG